ATGTGATGGAAAACAGAATAATGAGATGACAGTATACCTTTAAATAAACTTTGATATTAATGAGTTGTGAAAACCAGTATCTTACTTCAAATTAGTTCCATCAAGAATTATTACTCTTCCATGTGTATAACAAAATACATTTAGATCTTTGAATAGATTCTAACGCCAGAAATCTGTGATTAAAAGCATTAGAAATTCAATAATAATGCATCAATGTTGAATAGTATACATTCATCCACAAAGCAATTTTACCTGGTTTGCAATTTCACTACAAAATTGAATTTTTGTGCACTGTATAGGAAAATTTGTAAATAAAAGAGACATGGCCGTTGCGATGTAATTCTGGAATGATTTAGTGATAAAGAGAAATAAATGCACCTTACTTCTTTTGTACAAAGTCATAATGAAGTCTGAAAACTGTAATTTTAAAATACCAGTGTCATTTAAATTTATACTACTTTCTAAGAATAAACATAAAATTCAAATTCTCATACACATAACAGTCTTATTAATATTATATCCAACAGTTGTTATTTTTAGTATAGCCACTTCAGAGTAAGTTCCAACGACCGGACTCTTGAACATTAAACATAAAAACGAAGACAAACATAAAGATGAAATACAACGCCATGCAGAGTACAATGAGGTAAATTTTGCCAGGACAGCAGTATAAGACTAAACTTTCTTGATTTCTAACTGAGGAGGGAAGCATGAAATGAAGGAAAAATCTGAAAAACATTGTTTTTTATCCATCTTCGCTGCAATAGCACATGATTATGGTAAAAAAAAACTTCCAAATTGTGCAAAAAAGGCTTTCCATTAAATCAATGGAGATAACTTAGCCAATCTCAATGAAAACACCACCAATGGATAATCAAATCTCACAAATCCTATTAAGCGGAATTTTTATCAGAAAATCGTTATCAAATTTACTCCCCACATAAATTCACAGTTGAAATTGATTAGATTTCAACAGTACATCAGATTTTCTCAATTTTGTTTTCTTCTGACCTAAATTTATATAGATCAATAACAAGTGTATTATCAATTCTGCTTGTTTAAACATTTGATTTCTAAACCTGACTAGTTTAAAACATTTGATTTCTAAACCTGACTAGTTTAAAACATTTGATTTCTAAACCTGACTAGTTTAAAACATTTGATTTCTAAACCTGACTAGTTTAAACATTTGATTTCGAAACCTGTCTAGGTTAAACATTTTATATCATAGACCTGAATAACTCAAAACCTTTGATTTCTAATCCTCACTAGGTTTAAACATTTGATTTCTAAACTGGACTAGGTTAAAACATTTGATTTCATAGAACTAAATAGGTTAAAACATTGATTTCATAGATGAAATAGCTTAAAACCATTGATTTCACAGGTGAATAGCTTAAAACCTTCGATTTCATAAACCTGAATAGTTTAATACCTTTGATTTCGTAGACCTGGATAGCTTAAAACCTTTATTTTCATAGACCTGAATAGCTTACAACCTTTGTTTTCATAGACCTGAATAGCTTAAAACCTTTGTTTTCATAGACCTGGATAGCTTAAAACCTTTGATTTCATAGACCTGGATAGCTTAAAGCCTTTGTTTTCATAGACCTCAATAGCTTAAAACCTTTGTTTTCATAGACCCGAATAGCTTAAAACCTTTGATTTCACAGATGAATAGCTTAAACCTTTGATTTCACAGGTGAATAGCTTAAAACCTTTGATTTCACAGGTGAATAGCTTAAAACCTTTGATTTCATAAACCTGAATAGCTTAATACCTTTGATTTCGTAGACCTGGATAGCTTAAAACCTTTGATTTCGTAGTCCTGGATAGCTTAAAACCTTTGTTTTCATAGACCTGAATAGCTTAAAACCTTTGATTTCACAGATGAATAGATTTCACAGACCTGAATAGCTTAAAACCTTTGATCTATAAACCTGAATAGCTTAAAACCTTTGATTTCATAAACCTGAACAGCTAAATACATTTGATTTCACAGACCTGAATAGTTCAAAACCTTTGTTTTTGACACAATTCACACTTTTTTCCAATTTTAACTTTTACCGAGAGGCATACATTAAATTTATCAACTACACTAACAACTGAAAGAAAATAATTATATAATTTAATCAGAATGACAATCTGAGATAATTATAGGATCTCACAACTGTACAGAGGTTAACAGAGTATATCTACCATCCCCTTTTATAGATTAACATTTTCATTATCCAATCCTCTCAAACCTCAAATTTGATTTTTTTTCTTAGAATTTTTCATATTTTTCCATTCATTAAAATGTTGATAGTTGAAATAAGATTGAATTCAAGTATGTAGCAATTATGTTTATGAATGGATAATAATTTTTGTTTCTTCTGAATCATTAGATTGTGAGAGAAGAAAAAATTAATTTAAATCCTTTAAGAATTGACTACCGATCGAACCATTCTTTCTCAATATATCTGTCAATAACAGAATGAAATTAAGCCAGAACAGTTTAATGTCAAACCAAATCCTAAACCTATTCAAATTGAATGTTATTTCTTACCAATACTTCATGACCTAGGCCTGTGCTTTTCATGAGAGCAAAAAAGTAGCATGTAAAACTCTAATTTAATTTAATTTAATGTCAACATAAACACAGCAAGTGTTGCTTAAGCAGCAGAGCGTGCTTACCCTTCATAAGCTTGACATGCATTCTAGGCTTCAGGACAATGTTGTTAACAATTTTGTAACTTATGATTTTTAATTCCAGTTAACTTCTAGAAATCTGATTGATCAATATTATTACTGCAATAACATCAATAACCTGTTTCTCAACATTACCATATTTCTGGCGATAAACTGCAATCTAATATCAATATTATTAATACATGTATAATTATTATTGGTATGATTAGGGTATAATAAAGTTTTATTATAAATAGTAAAATGTAACAAGGAATGGAAGATAAATAGGATAAATTACATTATAATCAACAGTCAATTAACAATAACAAGTTATATAGAATATTATATCCTGTCTATCATAATCATCAGTTATAATTAACAATAACAAGTTATATAGAATATTATATCCTGTCTATCATAATCATCAGTTATAATTAACAATAACAAGTTATATAGAATATTATATCCTGTCTATTATAATCATCAGTTATAATTAACAATAACAAGTTATATAGAATATTATATCCTGTCTATTATAATCATCAGTTATAATTAACAATAACAAGTTATATAGAATATTATATCCTGTCTATTATAATCAACAGTCAATTAACAATAACAAGTTATATAGAATATTATATCCTGTCTATTATAATCATCAGTTATAATTAACAATAACAAGTTATATAGAATATTATATCCTGTATATTATAATCAACAGTTATAATTAACAATAACAAGTTATATAGAATATATATGCTATATATTAATACCTATATAATACTGTCAATATATAGTATCAATTCTGTCTTCCCATTTGAGTTGGTAAATCAAATTTAACTTATTTATTTCCAGTGAATTAGAATATACCTTTTGAAACAGTACACTACGGACTATGCATTGATAAAAATTTTAACATGGGCACAAGATTTCATTTCAAAATTTGTTTTTACAGAGTACAATTTTAAATCAAAATTACAGTTTCTCAATAGCAAGTGTGTTTATATTAAATGAAAATATACAAATATACATACAATATTTTGATCAGAAAAAAGTTAAAGATTATTTTCGGTACTATTTTAACACTAAATTTCAATTAAAAAAAATAATCTATACAATTCGATTTACCAACAAAAGTTAGAAGACAGTAATACCACATAATGAAGTTTTAAATAGGTCAGGGTTAAATGACTAGGGCTGTTGATTAATCTTTTCTTGCCAGTCATGACTGATTGGAGCTCCCAAACAACTGACTGCAATCTTGATTTTAATGCATTTTCTCTGTAAGCTATATCATTTGCATTTTAATTTTTTCTAAAATCAACAGTCCTGCCAATCACCCTTTCAAGGAATAATTGATTTTATAATCATTTTAAAATATCTAAAGGAGCTATGTAAACGACATTCTCATAAAACTACATTTGGAATTGAGCAAATAGTAAATATTCATATAAAATTTCTGCATAAATATAATAAAATAACTTAAACTATAAACTATAAACTACTAAATACAATGTCTACCACACAGAAACATTTTAAGGCACTTCAATTCTAGACTTAAAATATAAATTTGAAAATAATGTCATAATCAAGGTCATTTTAAATAGAAAATACAAAACAAATAAACCAATATTAAACCTAAAACAATTTAATTAAAAACACTTGCCATCCATTCGACCTTATAGACTCAGAAACAGGAACTTATAGTGTCCACACCACACTGTTGAAATTTGAGCCTTCAAATCCTTGTGTGTCCAGAATTGTCCGTGTTTGAAAGTCAAAATTGAGACTCTGCCATATAAGCATATAGAAAAGTCATCTTTATTACATAGAAATAGAAAGTTAAATCTGTAGTTTGAGTTATTTTTGAAGAATTATGCAATTTCCGTACATGATTAATACCTTTACATATATTCAAAAACAAAATCAACCCCCAAAATAGTGAATCTGTTCCTAAAGGAAATTCATTTGAATTTAGAGTAATGTGATAATTTTGTATTAGCAATAATAAAATATAAAAAATAAATAACAAACATCAAAATAAAACATTAATAACAAGTCATAATGAAAAAAAAATGTTTGTGACATCTATAAATATGATATATCGTGACTGTCAACAATTAATATATTATCGTGACTGTCATCATTAATATAATATCGTGACTGACATCAATAAATATATTATCGTGACTGACAACAATAAATATAATATCGTGACTGTCAACAATAAATATAATATTGTGACTGACATCAATAAATATAATATTGTGACTGACACCAATAAATATAATATTGTGACTGTCAACAATAAATATAATATTGTGACTGACATCAATAAATATAATATCGTGACTGTCATCAATAAACATAATATCGTGACTGACATCAATAAATATAATATTGTGACTGACATCAATAAATATAATATTGTGACTGCCAACAATAAATATAATATTGTGACTGACACCAATAAATATAATATCGTGACTGTCATCAATAAATATAATATTGTGACTGACATCAATAAATATAATATTGTGACTGACACCAATAAATATAATATCTTGACTGACATCAATAAATATAATATTGTGACTGACACCAATAAATAGAATATTGTGACGTAGTTCAAGGTAGGTATATATCTTAATCTTTTATGAGACATTTTAGTTGAATTGCAAAACTGATTATCTTTTGACTAATTTTGTAAATATTTCACAAATCTCTATATTATTTTGGAGCATGTCATGACTAAAATATATTGTAATTGTTTGATGGTTTCATTCAGTACAATGTGATGGCTTAAGATGGTAACTGAACTTGGCTATATGTGGTAAAATTTGCTAAGGTTTATACAGTAACATGTCATGGCTTTATCTGGTAACATTTACATGTCATGGCTTTATTCCATAACAAGTTACCCAATGGCTTAATATGGTAACATGTCAAGGCTCTATATGGTAACATGTTACAGTTTTATATGGTAACATGTTAGTTTAATATGGTATGGTATGGTAGCATGTCATGTCTCTATATGGTAACATGTTATGGCTCAATACAGTAATATGTTTGTACTCATTCAGTGACAAAATATAACTTTACTTAATAGCATTACAAAAATAGCAACATAAATATTTGTTAACTTGTTAAAAAGTTTTCAATAAAAATTCATATTGCCAGGTATATGAATATCATTTAACTTGTCTACATGTACAGTATATTGATTTATTTGTTGCTCTAGAAATTGAAATGGTTTCAAGGTCCTTAAAGTGGGAACATTAAAACGTGTAAATTGCATTATTTGTATCAATGGTTATTGCATTTTCTGGGACTTGCACCATTTTAACATTTTTTGAAAGCATGTTAAACTTATACATATACACTTAGACCCATGTAGCATAGCATCAACCATAATTTTAACCATGTAACATTGTAATGAATGTAAACATGTGACATGGCATTATTCCTAACTGTATAACATTTTTAAATACCTTTTGAAAAAAAAACTAAGGTTATTGTTAAAAAAAACTAGTATCTAGGACTATGGCTTATTACTGTTATGCTATCAAAGTTTCAGTGGATTTTGTTGGGCTTCTCAATGGTGAACTTTTCACTGGAGAACTTTTAATTTCTGTGTCTGGATTAACCAGTCCTAATGTTTTCATAGTTTTATACTGGTCAGGTATTTCCATTAAGGCATGTAAAGCAAAGCTTGTTTCTGGATTTCTACTTTTGGAAGTCACTCCATGAAAATTAACAAATTGGAAGTTGTCAAATTTTCGTTGTGGCAAACAATTATCAAAATCTTCCATAATATCCCATGGTCCATCACCAACACCTACGACTATAATACTTAGTGGAAAATTGGAGGCATCCACAATGGCTTTTATAGTCTGCTGTTCTTCATTCACTTGTCCATCTGCCACAATCACTAAAATGTGGTAACGTTTTAAAGTTTTCACTATTTCTATGGCTTTATATATTAAGGGAGCAAAGTTTGTTGGTCCCCCTAAAGTCACTTTAGTAGCTACCTCACTATATTTTTCTAAAACATCACTAAATCTTTCACAGTAACGTCCTTCTGGGTGTAGTGAAAATACATCATCACCCATAGTAACACTGTCACCAAATCCAAATGCTGGAATTAAATTATCTTCATCAAAAGGTTCCAAAGTCTTGCCTAAAATATGAATCACTTTCTGATATGGATTATAGACACGGGACGGAATGATACGATGTAGGTTTTGTCCAGAAAATGACTTTCTTCCTTGCCACTCATTGGAGGCACTGAAATCAACACCGAAAATCAAACCACACTTTTCTAATCCAGCACGGTTACAAGCTTTGCTTACCTCTTCGAAAGAACTAAAGTGATCCTCAAACGCGAAAAATGTATCAAAATTTCTAGCTCCTATACCCAGAATGGCCCACAAGGAAGGAGGATTTCGATAACGAAATGGTTGACGCACTTCTTGAAATTCCCATGCCTCTGATGAAGCATTGTATTGCATAGCTCCAGATTTAGAACCTCTTTGAGTCCGTTTTTCACGTGATTGTTGGAAGAGCCAATATAAGACCATAGCTGCTATATTAGCTATTATATATAATAAACTAGACCACAGAGACATGGAATACATCCAGATAGGGTTAACTTAGATCTGAAAATAGAAAAAAAATGAATAAGTAAAAAATATAACACGGAATCTTTGTCAGATCTATTACTGAAAGCTCACTCTATACATAATCTTATTTATCTTCAAACTTACACCAGTCTAATCAAATTCAGACCATACTTTCATTATTTAGCTTTTATTTTCAATGTAGCTACTTCTATTCAGTTTTGGTCCAAAGACACCGCTCTTGAACTTTCATCCGTTTCATGACACCGCCAGCCAATCAAATTTCCTTCCTCTCCAATATTGTGAAGCAAACAAAAGGTGTATTTCATCCCAATTTGATCAACAAAAAAAAAAAGAATTTATTGATCGTGCTAGCAAGTTGATTTTGTCACAATGTTAATTATGCAATAACTCACAAATCTTTTATCAAAACATTGTCAAATTCAATCGGTACAAAAATATCCTGTGTGAATTAGAAATAATGAGAGAACGAGAGAGGTAAAGACAGACACTATACATCCAAATAAAAATCTAAACCTATTAATTTCTCTTATCTGTCAGTACCAAGTATCAGATTATGAAATAAATATGATGTGTTTATAAGTGGTTAAACAAAATTGATAAGAATATTCAATCTATAAGATATTTCAAACATCCATAATTTACAGCTTGACACTAGGATGTTGAATAAAATATTGGGATATAAACAGATGTTGGTTGATAATGACAATATAAATATCAATATTATTATGGTTTATTTATATATTCTATAAATAATTCATGATAATATTAAACTAGAAACATGATAAATAATATTTTTATATATCATAATTGTGTGAAATGTAACAAATTGTATGTATAATCAACATCATTTGTATTATATTTGTATATTAACTGAAAAGCTTTCCATCATTAATGCCTTTAAGCACAGTGTTTAAATAAACATTCTCAACTTGTCTCCATATGAAAATAAGTTCCACTTGTCTAACTTCAGTAGTATACAAACTGAAAATAGGTCAGATGTCTGAAGATTGCAGAGTGATAAGAGCTTCCTTGTTAGGTTAAAGTCTGTGGGGGCTGGGCCCCAGCAAGAGAGAATCAAGCACCCGCAAAAATTTCAGTTCAGCAGAGATTGATCCATTTACAGTGTCTTTGTACAAAATCAAAAAATAAAGATTTTGATACGTTTTGACAGCACAAAATTGTCATAAGTGAGTTCTCTGAGCCTTTAATTCTTCAAATTCCAAGTCCAAAATCTGAGCCCCAGCACCAATTCATTCCTGGTGAAGGGGCTGAGCGATAAACTCACTAGTGTCTAAGGTTTAAAACAAAGTAATATCCCATCAAATCTATGATTCTAATTCAAATGAAATACTGATTGAGACTGAAACAGGCAACAATGACACTAATCCTGTTTAATTCAAAAAGTAATTCAAAATGAAATTAAATGGTCCTTATTTTCTTATCGCACATGAGTGAAGATACGTAATGTCATATGAAAGAAACTTTTAAGGTTATTAGCACAAGCCTTCTCTTTTCCAATGTAGAGGGATCTTTATCATAAAATCTAATATGTTAGAGCTAATGGAATCACAGATTCTGATTATACAACAAATAACATTCATCCACAAAAAAAACCTGATAGAATAATCTTATTACATGAACACTACACAAATAGGCAGACACGAAAATCACATACCAGTAATCAAAATGAGAGAGTTAGAACATTGATTTCAGCAATAAAATTCCATAACTAGTGATCTCTTCATGGAGAACTAACGTAATGATGCCTTGTTACATTCCGACATCTTGTTACAAATAACATTTTCATAACTAATTAACAAAAACAAGGTAATCTAATAGTTCGTCTAGACAAACATAATTACTACCTTAATTACTCTTATTAATTACCTTATCAATCTAATATTTTCAGAAATAACAATTATTCTAAAACAACTAAATTGGCGGTATCTATTTTTTTATAAATTCCTGTCTGGTTTGTAAGTTCTATTAAGATGAACCCTATAGTCTTTGTAACATTACCAGCATTAGATGAAGAGGGTTGAAAGCAGACAACAAGTTGACTTGAAGTATGTACAACTGGCTGTGGAATCAGAATTTTTCTTACTCACAGCACTTAATTGCCTAGCAGACGACAATCCAACTCACTGCCGACTGACCTATTCCAGCGCCACAAAAGACAGTGTTACAACACAGCGTTAGAGGGAAGTATTGACGTTTACAAGCAGATAGGTACTCAGTTAAGCTTATGTTTGCTACCAAATATGCTGCAAATGATGTTTCACAGCTTGTATCAGTAAAGAAAAGAATCTTTGAATGAAACACCACTGACCTCATCCAAGCAAAGCACTTTTCAGAATCAAAACCAATGTCTAGTTCTCAAAACTAAGAATTAAAACGACTATGGAGGTCACTAGCATTTACCAAATTTACTATTACCCATTTACAGCACAGTCAACTTGAATAATGATGAAAGATGACTTACACAAAGTAACCAGACTTACACACGCTCTCTGAGACTAGAACCAATGACCACCATTTGTTCAGTGTGACCAAGCAAATGACCTCTCTTTTCCAACTCTCTCTTAACTTTGCTACTTCCTTTATACATAATACTTCTGAGAAACAGTTCACATAATGAAAATCAAGGTTCAGTACAGAATAATAACATATTACCAGTATGAGGAAAAAGTAGTGAAATTTCTACACCATATTTAACATACAGACATTCAAACACAAAATAATAGTAATTTATAAATATATACTTTATAAATATATTACTAATCCAATAACTTCAACACATCTGCTACCTTCCAATCCAATGATCCTACCTATATATATTTTATTACATTAGAAAATATCTAATATATATATATATCTCGAAGTGTAGTCATGAGAATAAGTTCTACTTGTCTAACTTCAGTAGGGCGCATGCTGAAATAGGTCAGTTGTCTGAAGATCGCATAGTGTAAAACTCTGAGTAACAACATGATTCAAGTACTGTTTTAATATTGCTACATCACTACATTGTATATCACTCTACAATTGATGTACTGAGCACTATTTTAACGGTGAATATACTGTATTATTGTATATATATTCATTTTCTTCGTTATATTAAAACCTTCTATGAAAATGGAATATTAACCTCAATTTTCTAATTGAAAATAAACTGGAATTTTATATCCTATTGTCCTTTTCTAGTTTAGACTATTAGAGACGTAGGGTTCAATTTAAGCAAAATAGCATTGCAGTTTGTGATTCAAAATTTTCCATTTGGTGATCCAATATTTCCTATGATTAATGAATCAAATAAAAATTGTTTGTTTCCAAGGTTACTACTAGAACAATTTAAATTGAATCAAAAATTAACTTGAGAAGCCAAAACTAAAATTTGGTCTGAAAAATTGCGAATCAAATTCTTCAATCCAAATCAAAGCTTGTGGAGACAGAATATGAAATTAAACCTATTTTTCTGCACCGGAACAGACAATGTCATGCAGTGTGCAATGATCGAAGTTTTGTCAGGACAGCAGAAGTGCTCATTTTTTAAATCCAACTGTTCAATTGAGAACTTTAACAGACCTATGGTTTATTGTTCTATGACCAGTATTCCTCCCATCTCCTATATGTAAGGATTCACTTTTACTGTTGGGGGAACCAGGTGTAAAATAAAAGTTATTATCTCGACCTATGCTGATATCGAACAAAGGACCTCGTTTTATAATGGGTCCCGTAACCACCTATATGTAGCACAAGATAGTCAATCAAAAGTTAGAATATAAAGAGAATTTCAAGAAAGGAAAAATATGGAAAGAATATTTAGATAGAGCTGAGATATATAATAAATGAAGACTGGAAGTGTTCAGACCCATTTATCTTACAATTCTAATAAAATTCCATTCACAGAGCAGTCATAAATCATTTGATAACATTCTATTTTATGTGATATTTCTCCTTCAATTCAAACTTAAGTGATTGAAAAAATGATTTCATAAAATAAAATTGAATTAATTCTTATTAAACTTTTTATGAAACATCAATTGTAAAATTTGATGTATTCCAAGAATAAACGTTGTTGGAGTTAGCGGTACATTCTATCTTACAATTATCCTAGCAAATACCTTATTATTTTGATAATGCCTATATCAATGGATGTATGTTTCTCCATGTAGGTTTATATATTGTTGGCTGATCTCTTTTGAAAATAAACTTTAATTTAGTAGAGCCTTACAATTTCATTTACTAGTTGGAATCAAGCAAAAGCAATCAGAATTTCACAACAAATGGGTCCTCTCTGAAAGGGAAATTCAATTGCAGAATGTTGTTGGGTGTCTTGAAAGATGAGATTGAGAATGCCTGGCTACCTTGCTTACAATTTTAACCTTGATCATTCCTAAAAGGTGAATAACCACAAGAAAAAGCACCAATGTCATCTGAAGTCCCTACAGACCTTTAAACCTGATCATGCAAAGAGCCCATTCATCAGAGAGGCCATTCCATTAGATCTACTATAAATAATTACAAGCCTTCAATACACATCATTGACTTGTATAAAACTGGTATTTATTCACTGTTTTCCAGTGATCTTAATAGCGTGTTGGACACAGAAACTACATAAATTTGATTTTCCACTGACACAAATTCAAAATTTCTAGTTCAGTTATTTATTACTGTTATGTTTTAGTAAAGCCTTTTTATATGGAAAGCTTAAATGATGACAGTTAATAAATCTTAAAGTAAAAACTTTCTAAATACATCAGAATCAAACACTCTTCTACAGTTTACCAGTCCACATTTAAGCTGTACTGTACATACATACTTAAAGACTATGTTAGGTTATATTCTTAAAATTTTAATAAAGTCAATGGTAATTGTTTTATCAGCTAATGTGAACCCTAGATATCAAATTATTTAAGTTCTTTACCGGTATATAATGAGTACCTGTTAAACATTTTTTGCTCTTTTTGCTAGTAATTGATGGAACTGAATATTCTACTTGGCCTGTGCTTCAGTAATTTTAATTTTTATTTTTATTGTATACATTGTTATAACAACCTCTTTGGTTTACATGAATGCAGACAGTTTACTTTAAAAAACAATCAATCATTTGATCCATTAGTTTGTTTGTTTAACAAAATAGAAAATATGCCAGACAAAAGCTGCATTGCATGAACATTTGTATAATTTAAAACCTGTGTATACAATCAGCAATTAGAATACTAATGGAAAATTAATATAGCATTAAAACCTGCTCTGAGTGAAAACACTTTAGTGTGCCCTTTTAGCTGTCTTCAAGAGATGGACCGGTGATAGTTTACTTTCATATATCTAAACTAAGAAATGTCAAGGATGTAAAACAAGAAGTGAAAGCAGCCTTCAACCATAACAAATCCAAATTTCATGTGTTTAAAAAATTAAATTTACAACACAAATGAAATTTAACCAGAAGAAAAAATTCCTTGTTTCATTTGGTAGAGCTCAATTCGACTATCCACAAAAAGGAAGGCAAATCTTACACACATTTTCATGGCTATGTCTCTTTAATAATTTTTCCAATAGTGATAGGGTAAAAGACTTTTATACATAACCATCTCAATGCTTTCTCTAGCACTTCCAGATTAGCAAGCACCCACTGAACTGATCTTTGTTTCCATGATCTACAAAATATTTATACTGAGTATTTTACCTGTAGAACACTTTAGACCATTGTCTCTTGTACTAGACGTCTGCTACCAGCTTCATAATTTAAACTACATTATCCAAAATCGACTATAATAATATCTCACACCGAACTGAATAATTTACCGAACTTCAAGTGAACTCATCATAAAACAAGTAATCTAAACAGTTATCGAAGTGAACCGAATCAAATTCTGAATTAAACTAAATAATGTAGAGAAAATACATTGAGAATAACTCTAATAGAGTTCTATTCAATATACATTTGTCACACAGTTGAGTTTATTTCCTTCTATTAACAGAGACTGAGATGTTATATCCGACACTATAGGTATGAAAATTTTCCTGACACCACATTGCTAGACTAGCAGGAATATAGTATTGATCAATCTATTCAGCTATATCTTAAAGGGAATTACCAACAAACTAATATTGGTACCTTTCAGTGCCAGTCAGAGACAAACTAAGGTATAGATTAGCTGTCTTTCAGTATCAAGTACAAAACACATTCTTTACTTCTTTATTGACGTCTGCTAATGCTTTACTGATCATTTGGATGCATTTGCCAGGAATTGATTTCCACTTTAAAATGTTTTTAACTGTGATTTTATATCAGTCAGGAATACTTCCTTTCAGTCATGTAATTGAAGACAAATATTATGGTATATTAAATGTACTGTAATAAAATTTGCTATTAGTTACTATACCTTGATCCCTATTGCAGAAACTGTAAATGTTTTCTCTCTTGTATGAAATAAATCTTATTAAAGTCATTCAGGAAACTTATCATAATTGCACAATAGGTTATTTGGGACTATTGTCAATTAGGCCTAGGGATAGGTCACTGATATAATGATGAAACTCAATTTGTACTTGTAGCCTACCTTTAATTCAATAAATTAGGCTTATCAGACAAGTATGAAACTGATAAAAGTGTCTTGCTAAAAACTGAGAACTTACTAAAACCAAATGGATTCTGGGTTAAATTCACTATAAAACGATTCGACACACTTATACGGAAGAGTTCCGTTTACTTTAAATTGGTTATATTTAGTAGGCCTAACCGAATGCAGTAGTAATGGTCTTGAAAATTAGGCCCATAGCCATAGGATATTTAGATAATTTTTCGGATAAATTTCCATAGTAAAATCCGTTCTGATAGCTTACCATGAAAAGTTGCCTCTGCTCTGACACCAAGTAAATAAGTCTTTTTCTTTCAGAATGGAGTTAGGGAAGAGGGCCATGCTAAATATTTGTTTACATGTTGACAGGACCTCGTGTCCAATCACGTGATTGGATTACTATTGATTAACCAGACACAAAATTGACAAAATATCTGTAAAATACCGATACGTCGTTAATCCAAATCTATCAAAAAGCAAAAATATGGGCACAAGTTCTTTGTTTAAAAAGCGAAAATTATTAACGTATGTCCCTATAAACCCGATTATTTTTTAAATATATACATTGGTTCCTGTTTCCAAAAGTGATTTTGTTTTAATTTTAACTTAAGATAGTGTCCACAGTGTTGTCCCAGGCCAGAACTAGACTATCAGTAGCCTAGTCTAGATATAATTATATTAGGCATTGTCTTTTCGATGAAAACCTGGCATCCTTTTTTGTTTATTACTTTCCACAAGACCTTGATTTGCGGTGAATTTTCATTATGAATAAATGATTTTGAAGGCTCAAATTTGCCACTATATTTTGTCGATTATAGGCTAGGCCTATATTCCCTTCTTCTCAAGTTGAAAAATCAGCTATAAATTTCGTATGCCATTTCACTTGATCTTGTAATTGGTACAAGTACATCTTTAAGAAACTCTCTCAAGAAAAGTTATTTGTTGCTTTGTTACGGTATGTAGCCTACAGTTTTGTGATTTGTTGCAGTTGGCCGTCAAAATTGTTGTAAAAAGAAATATGGTCTAAGGGAGATAATCCATTCTCAGACACAGCCAATGGATTTCCAACAATAAGTTTATTTACGGATTTACCTGTGCAAACCATACCATTGTAAAATTCTTAGCCACGTGACTCACTAGAATAGGAGTCAAGTTGAAATAGGGTGATGGACACAGGCCCTACAAAGTTAGGCCTAGATCTTTATATTTTTTTCATTCATTCATTATATTGGGCTGAATGTTAGGCAGGACAATGTGTATTGGGCCTAATTCTGACCCATGTTAAATAAAGAGTTTATTATAGAAGAAAAGCTTATCCTTCAAAAAGGTTTTAAAAAATTATTCCATTGACTTCAAGATCAAGTATGAACTGATTTGGTATATTTTGAAATATCTGTATAAAATAGTCTAACAGAGTTAAACGGATTGTGAAGAGATTTTCGAAATTTTTTAAGTCTATCGGTGACACTGATAGCTTCAATTTGCAATTTCCATCAGACGTCTGTTGCTCCTGAAATTCCACTAAATCCTAGTGTTTAATGACGTCACTAATCGCAAAACATGCTTCATCACATAGACCTAAGGTCATTCGAATGGTGCAAATTGATTGTTATCAGTGTCCTCGATAGGCCTACACATTTTTAGAAAACCTCTTTACAATCCCTTAACATTATCAATATCGAGGGTTTCTGTCGTATCTGTACTTCTTTAGATTTCCTCGTTTCTTACATTTACCCCACCATCTGAAAGAAAGAAATATTTCTTAAAAATATAAGTCCATGTCCATGTGGTCGTCAACATCAAAGTTTAAAGGGGATGAATTCGCAACTTGTGAAAAAAAAAAAGAAAAAAAAAGAAAAAATAAATCGGGGTAACTCTAAGAAAGTTAATTTTACAAATTCAAAATTGAAACAAATGTTAATAAAAGGAGTAAGCCATGTTCTTCAAGGTTTATACGTTAAAAAATAAAGAAGAAAAACTCAATACTTACCCCTTACGGTCACACACCCGCTCGGTGTCTTCTTTAAAACAGTACCTTTGAAATATGTTAAAATACAACTGACCAACTGAAGTACCTATCTCATCTTTTGAAACTTTCAGGCATTCGTAGAATTCTAAATCACAGTCACAGCTATATCTAAAGTTAAAACGACAAGCATATACATGTATTATTTCATAGATTTCTTGGTGTCGGCTTATTACATTGACTGAGACCTAAAGCTGGTTTATAATATATTATTACAATCACGTAGGCATATGAATCCTCTAAAATGGCGGCGATACACAATTCAAAGTGACGCAAGAAACTGCTGTTGGCTTCAAATCTGACACCAAGTCAAATATTTTATAATGGCCCTGTCACACCGGAAAAGCGTTCATACTGCACTGCTATACTGCGACGGAAAATTGACTCAGAGCGTGTTAAGGTCGCCATAAGCCATAAACGTATACGTTTATATATTATAATATAAGCTAGTAGCACAGTAGCTTACACGCATGACAAAGACACTGCAAAAACGTAATACATGTATGAATAGAACATAACCTACTTGTAGTAAGGTAAATAATTGGTAATACCTCTTTCAGTAGAAAAAGGCGCAATGAATCCTGGACACACGTCATGTGATCGACAACAGGCGTCTGTGAAAGCATATCGACCCAAGCCATCGGCACTGTTACCAATACCGCACCAATTTGTACCTGAAATTTACAATAAAAGTAGGCTACTATTGTCAGATATAAAGAACAGATTGTCAATTCTAAGATATACAGATTGTCAGATCTAAAGGTATACAGATTGTCAGATCTAAGATATACAAATTGTCAGATCTAAAGGCATACATATTGTCAGTTCTAAAGATTTACAGATTTTCAGATCTAAAGTAAGCTGATTGTCAGATCTAAAGGTTTACAGATAGTCAGGTCTAAGATATACAAATTGTCAGATACAGATTTGGGATACAGATTGTCAGATATAGATTTGGGATACAGATTGTCAGTTCTAAGATATAGCCTACAGATTGTCAGATCTCAAGGTATACAGATTGTCAGATACAGATTTGGGATACAGATTTTCAGATCTAAAGATATACAGATTGACAGATCTAAAGGTATACAGATTGTCAGATCTAAAGCTTTACAGATAAGCAGGTCTAAAATATACAATAAAAGACATAACATTTTTCAGTGCTGTTTTAACCTTAGAAAATGACTTTGTGCAAGTTATGTATAATCTGATGAAACATGTAGCATGATCAGCTGGCTAGAAAATAAGGTGAAAATTTCAAAATTGAAATTGGAATATATTATGAAAAACACCCTTACTCATCAGGGGCGAGAGACCAACAGCAATTTGAGCTCAAACGTTATTGACAAAAGCTCTTTCATGATGATTATAAAGTTTACGAACCTGGATATAATCCCCTGAAAATTGAAGTCCATCGCCTTCTAATTCGATGTTTCTGTTGCAACTCTTGGTCAGAATGGGGACAAAGATGTAACAGTTCACCCATTTCCGTCAGACTTAGTTTAGTTACCTTCGATGGTTTATTTTCCTGTAAGAGTTGCAATCTGCCGATGCTGCAAAGAACAATATGTAGTAAATTTGGTATATATTTGTAATTTATTTTTCTTAATTCTATAGGGTTCAACATCCGTGGGTAAGAAATGACCCAAATTGACATATTCCTTAATATTGTGAGCGCTGAAAGATTTGCAGCTTTTTATGCGTATCGGGGACACCAATATCATCGGTTTCCATCATTCATAAGCGACTTGTGTGTAAAAACTGCCATTAGGAACCTGTTCATACGCGTTCAAGGAGAAATTATCTTTTTAAGTGCCATCACTTACCTATTTGAGGCTATTTTGCATGAAGATGTTCCATTTCCTTTTGTAAGTTGGAGCAGTACATGTCGGGATTTGTAATAAAACGATGAAGATTTTGTCATTTTAAAACCGTCCCCTCCAGTTTGATTAAATAAAACAGTTAGCGCTGTCAACAACAACAACACAAACATCTTGACTAATTCTATTTACTCTAGAATGCGATCTTGTTGATATTTGTTAATCTACTAAGTTGGCTCGTTGGTAAACTTAGTATTAGTCATTATATACCAATCAAATAGTTTATACATTGCATTTCATTGGTGTTTTTTATAGTAGTACTTTCTATACATAGTTCATTTCATCAAAACTCGTACATAAGCATAGTCAATCGATTTTGATTGATTACAATGATTTTTCATAAAATCTCAAATAGAAATAGTGGACTCTGCCACTGGCAACAGGAATATTTATTCCAGATGGTATATGCAGACAAATGCAGAACTGACATAATTGTAGATAGGTTTCGGAATGTTGTCGGGTGAAAAAGAAATGAAAAATTTTTTATTTATTAATATAAACTTATACCCATACTGTCAGCTTTGGTAACAATAGATGTTGATATTTTCATTGACTGTTGTTTTTTTAATTTCTTGATGTATACATCCCATAAAATGATTTATAGACTTTAGAGACATAACCTAATAAAATCAATATAACATCTGTTTCAAATTGCTCACAGCTTTGATCAAATCTAAAGCTGTCGAAAATCCATCGATAGATTATCAAGAAGAATCACAGATGACAATAATGAAGCCAAAAGAGTACAAGGCTGTTCGAAGAAGAAGAACTGAACAGAAGAATAATTACACGGATGAGCACTTCAGAAGAAGAACTCTACAGAGGAGAAACTACACAGAATAACTCTGTAGAGGGAGAACAATACAAGAAGAACTTTACAGAAGAGGAACTGCAGAAGTACGACAAAGAACTACAGAATTGGAACTCTACAGAAGAACAACTCTGCAGAAGAATAATTACACAGAAGATCTCTACAGAAGGAGAACTCTACAGAAGAATAATTACACAAAAGAACTCTACAGAAGAAGGAAGATTTACAGAGAAAGTACTCTAGTCTGGATGAAGAACTACAAAAGAAGAACTCTAGAATAATTACACAGATGAGCACTTCAGAAGAAGAACTCTACAGAGGAGAAACTACACAGAATAACTCTGTAGAGAGAGAACTTTAGAAGAAGAACTCTACAAATGATGAACTACAGAAATACTACAAAGAGCTACAGAAGGAGAACTTTACAGAAGAATAACTCTGCAGAAGAATAATAACACAGGAAAATTCTACAGAAGAAGAACCACAGAAGAAGAACTCTACAGAGGATGAAATCCAGAATAAGAACTACAGAAGAAGGAAGAACTACAAAGAAAGTACTCTAGTCTAGATGAAGAACTACAAAAGAAGAACTCTAAAGAAGAACTCACAAAAGAACTTCACAAAGGAAAAACATTACAGATAAATTACAGAAGAAGAACTCTCAGAGGAAGAACGAAGTATCATGACACAGGAAAAGTCAGAAGATGCTTGAAGAGCACTTCGCTCCTTACTCACTGTTTACAATCCGTTTTTTTAACGACTAAGATAATACCTTCTGATTTTTCAACCTGGTTTCCTCTTCCGTGATGCAGGTAAGAGGGGCTGATATGGTAAAAGCGTCTAGTCATTCGAATGGGACAATAAACCCGTGTGCTACATGCTGTGCACGTTAAAGATCCCTCGATAGTTGGAAATCGAAAAAAGAACAGGCTAAAGCCACTGTCCTGGCAAAATTTGTACCCTGCATGGCATTGTCTATCTTCATTAACCCACATGGTGCAGAAAAGTAGGACGTAAAATTCCATTCATTTTATTTTCATTTTACCGACCAAGAAAAAAAAGGAAAATTGTCAACTGTATCTTATTTGTAAGGAAATTGAAAAATTATTTCGATTAAGAATACCTTCTCGCGCGAAAAGATCATTTCTGATCATATTTCTTGCAATTATGGTGCCAATAAAACTGAACATGTTCTGTGTAGGTTTTTTGATAACGTAAAATTACATGGTTCGTTGATATATATAAATTAAGTCCTCCTCCCTGTATCCGAACCAATGACGCCGCCAATATATAGGGTCAACAAACGATGTATGTTCATTGAATTGGGTAATGAATGAATACAGACAGCAGTGACAATTTTTAATTACGTTATTCAACGCTTGTCATTAAAAAGGAATGAATATTCAATAATCAATAACAGTCAAATCAAAATTTGAGAACACACGTGTCATATTTATTTGACCTGAGAGCACTGCTAGATTATGTCCCTACTTGGTTGCATGCTCCTCTTGTTGTGTATTTTAGACAACGTCCGAACCAAAGAGACAAAATATTATAAAACTGATGGTATACTAATAGAAGAAACAGTAGGTTCGTTAAGGGAATGTTTTATTATTGGAGACAGGTAGGCCGTTTAATCAAAATCAAGGCATGCGTACATTATCATCTTTCAAGTTAGACCGAAATGTCTGTCTTTATTCCAGCCTCTGATAGCTATTTGGACAGATGTCAGGTGGTGTAGAGAGAGAAAAATAGTCCCTGTTAAACGGAAACATTGCGCATCTCCGTGGGTGCGGGGGTTTTAAACTTATTTAGATACATCTGCAAAACCCAGGTATATTTGAATAGATGAATATTTATGTAGTTCAGTCATATCATCATTTTCTCTCTACACCATTTATGTCACGTCTCCGGTTCCATCAAAGTTTTGTTTTTTTGGCGAAACTGATCTAGCATCGGCCATTTAAAACTGAGTGCGCAGCCAAAAGTTCAAAGGTCATAGAGTCACGTGATGCTGACAAAACGAAAGTTATGGTGATGCCCAGCATTAATTTACAATCATCTTAAAGGTAATTCAATATTATGTTAGAGAAAACGCATCTTTGAAGGTGTGGAAAATCCCCATTTAACAGGGTCTTTTCCTTCTGACTCTATACTCCAGTTGACAACTGTCAAAATATCCATCAGAGGCTTGAATAGAGGCAGATATTTCGGACTAGTTTCAAGTGTAGTAACCATTCTCGAAGGTGGTGTGGTTGCGATCAGTCAGTGTTTATCGCAAAATTACTAATTGGTTATTGTATCTATGTACTATAACTAGTATTCGATAAAATTGAATATCACGTCTATGTATTTACTTTTATGCGGTGACCTTTTTGTTTGATTATCATTCAAATTCAAATTCTATGTGTTTACTAGTTTGTATGTGGGTGTGTTTACCATGCTATTGTAATGTCCATGTGATTTTTACTGGGTTGTATCTTCATTACCTATTTGATTTTTATGTCTTTGTGGTGATTATTACCGAGAGTCTCAGTAGGCTATATGTGTTTTAAGGGAAATAATTCTTGTTTTGTAATTTCTTTTCTAGAGAGTTGATATCAAAGACGTTAGAAAGTCTACCTGATCATAGCATCATTATAGAAAAAACACCAGATGAAATTCACAATATTATAAATACTTGTCCCACTAATCAAAGATTGTCTAGAACTCGTAGATCTGGTGAGATTATTTATCCCGGTGCGTTGTTTTCAAGAGATTTAAAAATATTTTATAGATTACTAATGTAAATTCTAGGTTCTTTGACATGAATCAAGTTGTTTTGCTTTGTGATTGATCCAGAAAAGCTGCATTCATTTTGAAGTTCTATCATCATGACATTTCATAATATTTTATCATTGATTTTATCGACCTGATTATTTTGACTAATAAATTTGGATTTTTGAGAAGAACATGTCAGTTTTCTCTCATCTTCACATTGTCAAGCTTTTACGAACTTTGTTTTATACCTTGACTTCAACAGCTACCTTTCTTGTCTTACAGAAGTTTGTAAATGCAGCGATTTGATTGGATTGTACGCTTTAGAATACCGCCAAAGCCTTCGACAGAAAGTCTGTAAACTGGTGGCCATAATGTTTACAGTCTTTCTGTCCAAGACTCCGGATTCGCTAATATACAATACAATCAAACCACAGCATTCCTTGAAACCAGAAGGAAGCACCATGTGGGCTAATGAAGACGGTGAATGCAATGCAGGGTACTATGAGGGAAATTTGGACAGGATAGCGGTATTAGCCTGCTCTTTTTCGATTTCTTAATGTCGATGGATTTTTACCGTGAACAGCCTGTAGCACACGGGGCCTCGGTTTATGCCTTTTGCTATTGCGTCAAGATATAAGACGAAATTCGTAATAGCTTAACACATGGTTAAGTCTTTATAGGTCATGAGTTTTTGATAACAATCTAAATATATAAATGATCTTTTTTTCAGGAACTAAGTGGTGTGGCGTGGGTAATATATCTAAAGATTATAATGATTTAGGAGTATTTCGTGAGACTGATAAATGTTGTAGAGAACACGATTATTGTCCAGACTATATTTCTCCATATCAATCTAAATATGGTTTAGAAAATAACAGTCCTTTTGTTAGGTTCGTTAAAAGAAATCCCTGCCTTCTAATCAGCTTTTATCAAAATAAATCTTTAAAAAACGATAACCCGAGTCCAACTAGATAGCAGATAGTGACAGGATAACGGTAAGCCACTGATTTGTTCCTTGTTAGAGCATTAGGACAAAGTTTGCCAGTAAGAACTCATGTGCCTCTCGTAAAATTAACAGTGTCACATTTCTCGTTTTGGTGCCATAACTTACATCACCCCACCCCCATTATTTCTGGTTGATGAGCAGGACTCGTGTGGGGCATGGGCCATATTGATAAAACTCTACTATCATAATCATATTTTATAGGTTGAATTGTGATTGTGATAATAAGTTTTATGATTGCTTAAAGAAATCTACAGACCAAGCAGGACGTACTATTGGTGATCTTTATTTTAACTTCATTCTGTCCATGTGTTTTATGAAATGTACTGATAGGTAAGGTTTTATTTACTGTTAAGCTATGGCTCTCTGAAAACTGTCATTCGCACTCTAGAAATAGAAACATGCTTGCATTGATCTGAATGATCTGAAAGAATTTCTTGACAATGTATCTTTAATGTATACTTCCAATCAGATGCGACGTACTATTTCTCTTTTTGGAGTCCAACTATAGTTGCACTGGGAGAAAATGTTTCCAGTTTTTAAAATTCTAATATCAAATCTTCAAATATTTAATTCTCTGAAAAGCTATTAAGAGACGATAACCGTGAAAAATACCTTTCGATGGCTATCCAACAACCCCCAAAAATGACTGTCAGAAGCAGCAAATGTTAAAGGTAAACGTAATACTAGTTGTAAGCACAGACGAATGAGACGGGGTGGGTTTGCGGTTCATGTAACAGTATGTGTAACGTAATTTTTGAAAATTTCAGAAATTCCAACTGTGCAGAAGATGGAGAAATAGTATTTATATATGATAAAGTATTTTAATACTACATTGCAGATTTACGTTAAATTTACCGGGATATTGTGGGAAATATTGCTTTTGTTAGAACTGTTACAATAAAAAGTATTGCGCCGATATTGTTGTCATTATCCCAATCTGGAAGTGCTCTCCATTTCATTTGGTCTTCTCCGTAGGGGTTTTCAACCTGAGGGTAGTTATACCCATGGGGGTAATTAGTAATTTTTTGGACAACTATTATTTAAGTCGTTCTATTCAGTCAGGCTAATTTCCGACATAAAAAGATTGCTTGGAAAACCTTAGAAAAAATCATGAAATAGTAAAGATTTAGGGGGAAGAGCGGTAATTCAATCAATCGGGGATTTTGAAAGATGTAAGAAAAAGAAAAAAAAATGGGGGAGGAGGGGTGTAATTCAATCCATCAAGCATACTAAAAGGGGTAAAAAAAAAGAAGAAAGCTAAAAAAAATTATATTAGGCCTATGGGTTTGTCTCTATTTCTTTTATAGAAATTTTCGTATAATGATTAGAGCTTCACATTACTACAATTAAGAAAGCGTAATTACATTATGACGTCATAATCAATTCCAATAATTCTTGATAACGTCGCAACGCAGAACAGAAGCAACGCTACTAGAATTGTGCAATTTCAGGAATTTCTCCAATATTTCCAAAGAAAATTGGATTTGGCAGGAATTTTATTGATATTTTATTGAAGGATTGATCAAGTGACATTAAGGTAAACTATTTTCTACTGTTATATATAAGTCAGAGATCGTAACTTTGCTGGTTTGAAAAAAAAATTATTTTGCTTGACGGCATTTTTAATGCGCGTTGCAAACGACATGATTCTAGGTTCTCGAGCAAGTTGCCTTATAATCTATTGAAGGATACAAATGAAATGAATTAAATGAACCCCGTCTTTCGGCTTTGAGTTGGCTATATGGCTAGTTCATCTTATCTATGCCCTTCTCCGAGCAACAAACTTCAAGCTTAGTTGCAATTTCATATTGGTGGATGCAATGCACTTGACAGTACATAGTTTACACTGGATACACGTAGTTTGTCATCGGCTATGCAGATATTTATCCTAGTTGACCATCTGCATGGTGTTTGCTTGTATGACTTTTTCAGATAGTGTCAATCTCAAAGAGAAGCATAGGAAGAACCGGAATTTGTCGGTATAGAAGAACTAAGATATTTATATAATATTACAGGAGTAATATAACAATGGATAGAGAACAAGAAAACCATGACGGTCCAAACAGGGATTTCATCAAGGACTATAAAGATTCTTTAACACAATGTCGCCGAGATGGAATAAGAAGAAGCCGCGAGTCCAGGATGAGCCTCGACGACCTGATAGCTATTGCAGAAAGACTAAGAAAACGGGCAGAAAGATATAGACATGTTTGGGAAGGGCACGCTGTGGTTCTGGATAATCGGAGTTCAGAAACAAAAAGACGAAGGGTGGATACCGCTGGTAACTGTTGGAATGAGAGCACTGGCGTCTTTAACGAAAGGTGTTTAGAGCACGTAGAGCGAGATAGACACCAAAACAGATTGACTGCTAACAAGGGCTTCCTTCCTGACAGAAGAGAAGAGAATTTCAGGGTGACCGAACTGAGTCTACAAGAAAAGATCGAAAAAGCAAAAGCATACCAATGTACATGTAGATGCAAAGAATGGAGAGGCTGGTCCGAACCAAGAGATCTAAAAAATAAGGAGGACGGATTACCGAAAAGACCTTCCAAATCAACTCCAGAAATATCTGCAAATGAAAAAGCAGTAAATGACCAGACCTTGATATTAAGAAATCTAAAGTCCTCTGAAAATGAACTAAATTCAACATCATCAACGTTGAAAAGGGGTAGCCACGTTCCCATAGATGAAAAGATCGTCGGAAGAAATACGAAAATGCATGGAGCAGTTTCGAAAGCAAAGTTCGATTATGTTCAGAGTCAGGAAGCGATTGGAACGGTGAAGAATCGTGCATCTGAAATAGAATTCATGGATAACATAAAAGCTGTCAAAGATGATTCTAATCCCGATGCCTCAAATGGTCTGGAGAAAGCAAGAGCTATATTGGATATGGAGATTACTCGTTATATAAAAGAAAATGAGAAGATACTTACAGAAATGGTTTTTGGAGAGATAAATGAGTTCAAACATGGCGAGAGCAAGAGGGAAATTCCACAATATGACAAAAGTGGACTGAAAGTCAATGCCCCGAATGAGCTAAAGAAAACCACAGTTAAATCGGAGATTGGAAAGAAACCTTCAAGGAACCTAGAATCTGTTGTATTTAAAGCTGCCTATGAAGAGAATATGCTTGATGGAAAAGCCTGTGACAAGACAAAGACAGATATAGAAAATAAAGATAGTAAAATAGCACAGCACAAATATGTTGAATACAAAACTGGTGCCACTTGTGATCTGAAGAAACCACAAGCTAATTTGAAGATTGAAATCCCTCATTGCGTAAAAGAGGCGGAGATTCCTACAGTAAGCATGTGCAAGACAAAGGCATATCTGAAACGCGAAGAGACCAAAAGTACTTTACCACTATTGAAAGAAAACTATTGGACACCTTATACCACAAGTGAACAAAAGAAACCAAAAGTCAAATTAGAGATGGAAAGCTCTGGTTGTGAAAAAGGGCTAGAGAAGATACATAGGGATAAAAAATATGAGATAAAATCAATATATCGCAAAGAGCTCAATTGTAAAACTGATACCTCCATTGAGCTAAAGAAGCAAAGAGCTATATTGGATATGGAAATTTCTCGTTATATAAAAGACAATGAGAAGATACTTACAGAAATGGTTTTTGGAGAGACAAATGGTGAGAGCGAAAGGGAAATAGAAGAATATGAAAAAAGTGCACAGAAAGTCAGTGCCCCGAATGAGTTAAAGAAAACCAGAGTCAAATCAGAGATGGAAAGCTTTCGTTGTGAAAAAGTAGAAGAAAGGCTGCCTTTAAGAAAAACCCTTAGCCAGAAACAGAAAGATTTAAGCTATGGTAAAAGCCATAAGCAAAACCAACAGCCAAATATAAATGAATACAAATACAAAATCGATGCCACGTTTGAAATGCAGAAGCCAACAGCGAAATCAGAGATGGAAAGTTTTAAAAAGACAGAAGAGGATAAACCTTCAAGGAAAGCTGTTGACAAGATCAAGAAGGAGTCAATACAAGGGGTGAAGACTATACCACGACTGCAAGAAAATAGCGAATGCAAAACTGGCGCCAAAAGAGAGCTGGGGGCAACGATCAAGTTACAGATGGAAAGCTCTCGTTTAAGGGAAGAAGAGGTACCTTTAAGAAAAACCGTTGTCAATACACAGAATTATGTAAATCATGAAGATATCCAAAGGCAAATGCCACGATTTAAAGAAAACGAATACAAAACTGCAACTTGTGAACTGAAGAAACCAATAGCGAAATCTGACATGGGAAGCTCTCGTATAAAAGAGGTTGAAAAGATACCCAAAAGAATAGAAATTGAAAAGACAAGGCAAGAGTTAATACACGAGAAGAGCGATTTAAGAGAAAAGCAACAGTTTAAAGAAAAGGAATGCAAAGCTTGTGCCACAATAGAGTTGAAAAGACCCCAAGCTAAGTCGGAGATGGAAAGTTCTTGTGAAAAGACAGTAGAGAATATACCTCCAATAATAGCAGTCGAAAAGACAAGGAAAGAATTATTTAGCGAGGAGAGCAATTTAAGAGAAATGCAACAGTTAAAAGAAAACGAATGCAACACTTATGCTACAAGAGAGTTGAAGAAACCAAAAGTTAAGTCGCAGACAGAAAGTTCTTGTGAAAAGACAGTTCAGAAAATGCCCTCAAGAAAAACCACTGAAACGACAAATAGGGAGTTACAATATGAAGACAGCACCAAAACAAGACAGCTAGAAAGAGTATGCAAAACTGATTCCAAAAGGGAGTTGGGAACAAATGTCAAGTTGCAGATAGAAAGCTCTATACCCCCAAGAAAAGTCTCAAACGGCACAAAGAATGAGCTTAAAAATGAAGAAAGCAAACCAGGAGATGAAATCCAAGTAAAATCCTATGCAGGTGAGCTTGAAAAACCTAAAGCCAGAACGGAGAAGGAAGGCTCCAGGTACAAAAAGATTGAAGAGAATGTGCTTCCAAGAAACACCATTGACAAGACAAAGAAGGAGTTGAAATATAAAGAGAGCGAAACAGAAGACTCAAAACAAAATAAAATCCAAATCAATTTTTTTGCAAGTGAGCTGGAAAAACCTAAAGCCAGAGCAGAGAGGGGAAGCTTCAGGTACGAAAGGGAAGACGAGAAAGTGCCTCAAATAAACACCATTGACACGCCAAAGAAGGAGTTAAAATATGAAGAGAGCGAAAATGAAGACGATGTTGAGAGCAAACCAGTGAAATGGGGCGGAAGCAAGCTAAAGATATTAAAAGCTAATATTCAAGCCAAATGGGGGTTTAGTAAGACTAAAAAGATTAAAGACCAAAGAGAAGAGAACCGTGACAAAATCCAAAGCCAGGGGGAA